TGTAATTGGGAAATAAACGTACTATGATTTATAACAAGACTTTGATTCCTTTTTACTCTTAACTCCAACAGACATCTATATAATGGCTGGAGACGGCTTGAATGGGGTAATGAAGAAAAACTTTAATATATGTTTAACATAACCGCAAATGTAAAACGTTTCGACAAGGTTTTGTCATCATCAGGTACCCTTGTCAAAACGTCGTACATTTGCTGTTATGTTAAACTTATATTAAAGTTTTTCTTCATTACACATTCAAGCCGTCTCCAGCCATTATATAGATGTCTGTTGGAGTTAAGAGTAAAAAGGAATCAAAGTCTTGTTATAAATCATAGTACGTTTATTTCCCAATTACACACGATACATTAACCCAAAATGAAATGAGTGGATGATATAATCATTGTCTGTAAGTCTGAAGACGTCTGTAAGATTCTATGAAGGTATACAAAATCCTTATATGTTGTTCAGTCATCTTGAAACGCAATTGCTGTGAGCCTCATATCTTGTTCAGTCATCTTGAAACACAACTGCTGTGAGAAATACAAAATATTTCAACCGTTACAAAAAAAAAAAGATGCTTACCCTTAAGAAGGTTGGTTGAGTTAATAGTTTTATACTACTGTAAATGTTTAAATGAGTTACCTTCATCATCATTAGTCGAAGTATCTTCAGGCACGTATTCAAAATTGTCAACCTTCTCACTCTCTGGCTTGGTTATTTCAATAGTTTCTCCTTCTGAAAAATACAATGTAAAAATGCCGTTAGAAATTAGTAACGAACGATTTAAAATTAAAAAATGAAATTCAAAACATTGTCCCCTCTCCAGTAGCTTAGTGGTAAATCTGAAAGCTTATAATGCTAAAAACCGGGTTTCGATTCCCGTGGCTGGCACAGCAGTGATAGCCCATTGTGTAGCGTTGTGTTTAACAACGGCAGAAAAAAACAAATAATTACATAATACTTGTTTTATTGAAAAAATAATAATTTTAATCATTATATTAATAAAAGTTTAATCCAAGATTGGCACAGTTATGATTAACATTCATTCAAGATTAATGTTTTATAAAAATAACTTGAGATACCACAAAATACTATTTTACGTATAATTAAATGGTTTATGTGTGATCAGACTTATAATAATACTGAATCATAAAATATAATTTCATTTGTATCTAATTAGTATCAGTTTTAGTTAATTATAATTCTTTCGTGTTCCTTAAGAGATTAAGAATATCAAATTAAGTTTCACCTCCAACAAAAGACTATGAACTAGTATTTTTTTTTCTTTCAATACTTTTATATAAAACAATGTTTTCATTACTTTTTGAATAAAATATTTCTATTCACGTAGATGTGTGAAACGTTTATATTCAAATATGAATGCTAGTGCTCTTACTTTTACGCCCAAAAATGTCAATCGGTCTGTTTATGTGGCAGTAGTATCCGGGACGGCATGTAAAATAGCATTGGCCAGCATAACACCTTCTCAATGAACAGATATAGGTGCATCGTTGGCCGTGACCACCATGATTCACACCATAGTTAGGTCTGTTTCCTACTCCTCCGTTAAAGCCGACACCCCCATTGTAAATACCACCTCCATTGCCATAACGACCTTGAATACTTCCATCATCATTTTCATCGTCACTTCTAATACAAACTATCGTTAAAGAGACGATGAAACATACCACTAGGGCTTTCTTCATTTTTCTAGAATAACAAACCTAATATCAAAAGAAAGAAAGTTTCTTTACAAAAGAAAATGGAATAGAAGCGATAGTCACCTTAAATTTCAAACATTAAAAGATTATCAACCAACCAGGTAAAATAAATACCATAGGCTATATATGTTATAACTTTCTGTTTTAATAATAATAATAATAATGCCTATCCCCCCCCCCCAGTGGCACAGAGGTATGTTTGCAGACTTACAAGGCTAGAAACCGGGTTTCGATACCCGTGGCTGGCGGAGCACAGGTAGCCCATTGTGTAGCTTTGTGTTTAAACTGCAAACAAACAATAATTATAAATATTCGAAATAATTAAGATAATTTGTTTATATATATATGAAAGTACCTTTTTGACAACGATATTTTTTTCAAAACATTGAAGATATCATACTAAGAACAACTGCCAAATAGTGCACACTGTATACTCTATAAATAAGATCCAGAAAATATCACAAGAGATATAGCATAAATTATCATAACAGTATTATCTTTAACAAAAAAAAGTATTTCTTTAATAATGGGAATTTGATATGAAAGCTCTGTAAGCCTGGTAATCACAGAAGTTAAAAGGTATAAAACACAATTTGATATGAAAGCTCTGTAAGCCTGGTAATCACAGAAGTTAAAAGGTATAAAACACAATTTGATATGAAAGCTCTGTAAGCCTGGTAATCACAGAAGTTAAAAGCTATAAAAACACAATTTGATATGAGAGTCAGAAGTTTCGTAAATTACAGTTACTTACCAACAGTTGCGTTACTGAGTTCGCTGATGTCTGAAGTTGGATATAAAGTTGCGCTCATCAACAGATCCTCTTTTATACATTTCAACCATAGGAGCGCAATATAAGACTGAATTCCATCATCCAATGAACGATCCTTAACTCAGCCTGCAGAAGCGTCATTGGTTTTCTCCCTGAACCAACTGTCAATCTTTTCTTTTTTTGCCAACGTGTAACCCACTCAGTACTAAGGTTATGTATTTCGTGGTAAGCTGCTTATGACCGGATCAGGCGGGTTTCAAGAATTAAAAAAAAAATAAGTACAATAACCAACACGGTGTTTCCCAGAGTTAAATAGCAGATATGGTGTGGTTCAGATATTATTGGATTCTTCTGTACTTAGATTCATAAGTTCTCATTATTACGTTAAATTTATTTGTGATGACAACTAATTTAAATCGACAAGTTCAATGGGCCTATTCTTTAAATCAAAATTAAGCTTAGTTTTTACCGTCCACCGAAACATTGTTCCTATACGTTGTAGACATCGATAATATTTGTACAGACTAAATAATACATCATATAAGTATGGAATCAAACTTGGCTTGTTTCAAATTGCTTTTAAACTACCTCCTAAAGAACTTAATACAAGGTTTATAACAAGTTTATTATAAAATTAATTTCTCAAGAACTATTAAAAATATCAGTGAAATGTTTTTTTGTTTCTCATTCATTATTTTGGTTATTTGTTATTAAATACCACTATTAACAATGAGTGATATATTTAATAACAAATAACCAAAATAACATACTACAACAACAAGAACAACAACACAAAATAACATACTATAACACCACATAACATCCTACCCACTATTAACAATGAGTGATAGTAGGATGTTATGTGGCTGGATATAAACCATAGAACCACCAAAAAACAGCTACAACAGCCCGTTAAAAGTGTCATAACGTTGCAGTATGTTATTTTGGTGTTGTTGTTGTTGCAGTAGGTTATGTGGTGTTATAGTATGTTATTTTGTGTTGTTGTTCTTGTTCTTGTTGTTGCAGTATGTTATGTGGTATTATAGTATGCTATTTTGTGTTGTTGTTCTTGTTCTTGTTGTTGCAGTATGTTATGTGGTGTTATAGTAAGTTATTTTGTGTTGTTGTTCTTGTTGTTGTAGTATATAAGAAGTTGAGTTGAGTTAAAACAGCTTAGGAGTTCCTATTATTTTGTGATTAACACTTGTAAAGTAATAACAGTGTATAGCGCGTTACGAATGATCCTAGGTTTTAATACTGTTTTTAACTATACATGCAGTATTTAATTTCATTATATTGCTTTACTCATACGAGAATAATTAACAATTAGGTTTGATTGTGGAAGACTGAGGCACAAGTATTCAAGGAACTGTGATAGATATTTGTCCAACAGCATGAAAGAAAACCACTGGTTCTCATTCAGTGGTTATGTTATTATATATATATTTGTTTAGGCTTTGCATCGGTCATTATCATATACATGTGACAGAAGAATACCTCAAGATGGCCACAAAACCTCCAGCATGTGGGAACCTAATTAAGAGCTGACGTGAGAAAAATTATCTTTTATTTTGTCTTGTGATTTCAAACTTGTTCGCCAGCTCCGAAATTCACGCCCTTTCGAGATTCTAGACATATGTTAAATTCGTTTAGTAATGCCAAAGTCATTTTGTTGGGATCTACCAAAATTATCATAAAACGCAAAATTATATAGCGTTATTGATAAATACTTTATTATTCTACTAGCTGGAGTAACCGTCCTCTGGACAGAAGTTATTAATGAAAGGTTATCTTAAGACATGAAAAGTTGCTTCCCTTATATGTAATTGTCAAAAACGCCCCCAAAATACTGTAGAACACAGAACTGAAAATTTGAATGTATCTCCCCGTGGACCCAATGAATCTCCATACCAAATGTGGTGCAGATTCAACTACAGGAGATGAGGTAGTGGTAAAAAAAACGCCAAAACACCCATAAAAACCGCGAAACTCAAAACTGAATTTTTTTTATGTACCCTCGCATGGACCTAATGAAACTCCAAACCAATTTTGGAGAAGATCTATCCACACCCTGCGAAGTAGTTACATGGACATACAGCAGACAACAAACAGTACTATTATATTTATAGCTTAGTAATGAGCGTGCCCAGACTGTCAAACCAGAAGTTCATAATTCTCTTTCATTTGCTACAAAAAATAGCGCGCTCTGCACTTTGAGGCTATGGATGCGCTAAAAACAACAATCAAGAATAAATCAAGATTTATCTCTAGGTACTATTGACTAGTTGCCTTTCCTTTTGTCCATAAGTTCAAAAATAAGGAACAGCTAAACACAGATAACACTTGGGTTATTTCGCACGAAAACTCTAAAACAAACACACAAAACTAACAATTATTAATATATCAGGTAACTTATTACGCTTCTGGTATTCAAACAAAACTAACAATTATTAATATATCAGGTAATTTATTACGCTTCTGGTATTCCAACAAAACTAACAATTATTAATATATCCGGTAGCTTATTGTGCTTCTGGCATTAAACAAAACTAACAATTATTAATCTATCAGGTAATTATTACGCTTCTGGTATTCAAACAAAACTAACAATTATTAATATATCAGGTAACTTATTACGCTTCTGGTATTCAAACAAAACTAACAATTATTAATATATCAGGTAACTTATTACGCTCCTGGTATTAAACAAAACTAACAATTATTAATATATCAGGTAACTTATTACGCTTCTGGTATTCAAATCAAGCACAACGTTAGATAAATATTTTTTTTAATTCGTTTCTTTTCCATGAGATTTAGATAAAGTGTTTTAACTTGAATTAAACTAATATTGTAGCTAGTAAACTAAATAGATACAGAAGAAACTGGTGTTATCTTCTGCAGATTTACTTTAAAGTAATAATTTACTTTAAAATAATAAATCTACTGATGTTAATCAGTCTGAAATATTTAACAAGAAACTAATACGAAATAACAGAATAACACTTAAAAACCGGATGTTGTGTACGGAACTTAGTTGTGAAATATTTAACAAGAAACTAGTACGAAATAACAGAATAACACTTAAAAACTGGATGTTGTGTTCGGAACTTAGTTGTGAAATATTTAACAAGAAACTAGTACGAAATAACAGAATAACACTTAAAAACCGGATGTTGTGTACGGAACTTTGTTGTGAAATATTTCACTCTTGTATACAGCTAATAAAAGACTATAAAACCCTTTATCAGGCCACGAACAGCAGCTCAAACTACAAGGCCAGGTATCAAGTCTGGTGAACAGAGGTGATGTAGCTATGAACGCTTGTCCTTGAATTTAATTATTCTAAAAAAAAATGAATGAGACCTGAACCTGTTTTTGTAAAAAAAATTTGTATGGTCCATACGCGACTCGTTATCGAAATAAAAAATATGATAAAAATACAAACAACACTTGTTTCAACAGCTCGAAGAATGTGTGTTCTTAATAAATATTCCAGCCTCAGGAAATAATTAATAAGTCATCTTTTATCTCAAGTCATTCCAAGAGGTCAGCCAGATGTAATATTAACTTGCATATATTATATAATATATTTTTTAAATGGTTCCTGTTTTGCAACTTTCATTTTTTTACCTTGACTGGGCCTCTTTGGGAGCTAGAAAAGTGCCTATGGCCTCCAAATGACTTCTGCCAGAGTCTTATATTCAAGTGCTTTCTTTTAGCATGTGTCTTTGGTTTATGATAAAATATAATCAAGTTATGAAAATAATAAAAAGAAGAGAAAGGCGACTTCTTTAAGATAACCTTTTTTGTTAACATTATATTCGAACTTTTTTTTTACTACGCTCAAAAAATGATATTGGAACTGTTACAAATTACCTAAGATAGAGCTGATAATTAACTGTTAATATTGGCTGAATACGGCTTAATTTGGTAATGAAGAAAAGCTTTAATAGAAGTTTAACAGAACCGCAAATGTACAACGTTTCGACAAGGTTTTGTCATCATCAGGTACCCTTGTCGAAACGTTGTACATTTGCGGTTATGTTAAACTTATATTAGAGTTTTTCTTCATTGCCTATTCAAGCTGTCTTTAGCCATTATTAGTCTCAAAGTGGGTTCCTCGTCACCGAATCTAACTGTTAATAGTTTTTAAGTCTTGGCCTTTTTCTTTACAAGTAACTTAGTATGCAAATTATATAATATTTATAATATTTAATAGGAAAATATTTGAAGCCATTTTTTTTGGATAAGTTAGTTAGAACAATCCTTTACATATTCATTTTAAAAAGCATCGGCTTAATGCTAAACGTCACGTTTTATTTTCCTTTTAAAGAAGCAGTCATTCCTTCTTCGAGTAAGATTTTAAATTATGATGATGAGATCCTGTTTACAACGAAGTTAATGCATAAACAAAATTACAAAGCCAATGGAAGACAATCTCCCCCACTTTTGTAGTTAGTGTACATACACTAATATTTACAATTATGTTAGTTTGACTTAGTTTTTTATACTTTCCCCAACTTTCCAACAAATTGTATGAATATTTTGGTTTATTACCAAATTGCACACGTGATATTTCATTACTTTTTAAATAGCAACAAACTGATGAATTTTAACAATATAATGTAACCTTAGTTATAATTGATTCTAGCTCATTTATATAAGCTTTGTTTACACAATCATCCGCCTCCCCCTGCGGACTTACAATGCTAGATACCGTGTTTCGATACTCGTGGTGGGCACAGCACAGATAGCCCATTGTATAGCTTTGTGCTTAACTACAAACAAACAAACTTTACAGAAACCTGAAATATCTCAAAATAGTAAATGCGAAACAAAGTATTTTACTGTTATTTGTTTAAAGAGATAAAAATGAATTATAACAGAAGATATAGTTTTAGCTTTAAACATTTTTCTCGGGATACAAAGATACTAGCCTGCATCTTGAAACGTTTTCTGCCTAAGACGCTGACTTAATATATATTACTGAAGTCAACTGAG